ATGGCTTGGGTCAGGCATACCTTCATTCTCAAACTGACATCTTTGCTCGTCAACACTTTAAAAAGGTCTTGTGCAGCAGATTTGGCAAATACAACACATTGTTTGATTTCTTGACAGCTACTTGCATGAGTGTTGATGGTTGGTCCAAACAAAATGAAGTCTGACAACTTAAATCTTTTCTCCATTTTTATGACTATTGTTTATTGGTTCAGTGGTGAGGGTTTTTGTTTTCTTTACATCAAAATGCAACCCATACTGAAGGTAGGTAGCATCCTTGATCTTCATCAGTAAGTATTTTAAGTCCTCTTTGCTTTCAGCAAGCAAGGTTGTATCATCTGCATATTGCAGCTTGTTAATGATATGCAGATGATACAACCTCTAATCTTCCTCCAGTCCTGATGCCCCATTTTTCTTTATATAATCCAGCTTCTTGGATTATGTAGTCAGCATATAGATTGAATAAATGTGGTGAAAAAATACCACCCTGGTACGCACCTTTATTAATTTTAAACAATTCAGTGTTCTCTGTTTCTGTTCAAACAACTCCTCTTGGTCTATGTATAGGTTCCTCATGAGCACAATTAAGTGTTCTGGAATACTCATTCTGTGCAATGTTGTCCATAGCTTGTCTTGATCCACATAATCAAAAACCTTTGCATAGTCAATAAAGCACAGGTAAACACCTTCGTGGTATTCTCTACTTTCAGCCAAGATCCATCAGATGTCAGCAATGGTATCTCTTATTCCACATCCTTTTCTAAATCTGGTTTGAACCTCTGGAAGTTCTCTGTCAGTGAATGGTTGCAGTGGTTTTTGGATTATCTTTAGTGCAACTTTCCTTGCGTGAGATATCAATGATAATTGTCTGATGTTTCCCGCATTCTGTTGGGTTGCCTCTCTTTGAAATGGTCACAAATATGGATATCTTATAGTCAGTGGCCATTTTAGCCAGGCCAAGATACTGAAATAACTTACATATAAATCCCATTCGTGGAAAATGACATCATTCTTGGTAAAGTCTGAGGGTCACCCACAGGATGACGACCCTCAGTGAGGTGGATCGATGAAGTGGCTGCAACAGTGGGCTCAAGCATAGCAATGACTGTGAACCTGGCACAGGGCTGGACTGTATTTCATTTTGTTGTATGTAGGCTTGGCATGTAACAACAACAATACAATCCTCTAGGAACGGACAGTGTCAGAATTCTCTCAGAATTGTCATTTTGAGGATTTGAAGTACAATGTCATTAGTTTAGATATTGCAATTCAGGAATACATGAAAGAGGAACATGCAGTTTGTATCCGAACCATAATGACCCTGTATAGGGTTTCCAAGGAGCAGCTGGTGAGCTTGAACCACCGACTTGCAGTTCAAACGACTTTGCAGTCTAGCACGTTAGCCCACAGCGCCACACAAGGACTCCTAGATCTCACATTGTTGTTGTTGTTAAGTGCTGTCGAATCAATTCCGACACATAGCGACCCTGTATAGGATTTCCGAGGAGCAGCTGGTGAGCTTGAACCGCCGACCTTGCAGTTCAAACAGCTTTGCAGATCTCATATTAGAGTGGTGCAATTTCCATTTTCAAAAAACAAAACAAGGTATTTCAAGAAAAACCATAAAGGAAGGTTTAGAAATCTTTAGAAGCCTATGCTGTATCATCTTTTTATGACTTAGGGGAAAAAAAAGGTCATATTGTTCATTTGGTTTTTTCAGAATATCTCTGTATAGAAGTAGTAGATTAGATTGAATACAATAAAATCTAATCCTATGAGATCTGTTCATCTCTATAGGTCTTAATGTTGAAATAAACAATTTGCTTTTATGCAAACCAGTGGCTTAGATTTAATATTTGACAGCATGTACGCTTTGAATTGTCAGAGGGTAATATGAATTAGAATGTCACACCAATTCCCTCACTTTTGGCTTGGTGGTGAAGTGGAGCTGTAAAATGGTATCAATCAGATCATATAAAATGAAAGGTATGCGCCTATAATGTAATAAGTTGTTCTATTATTGACATTTATTAAGAATTATTATGAAGTATGGTATTTTTACCTTTATTTTCTTTTTCTATCCATTATGATGTTGAGAACATTTAACAATTTATTTTTAAAGGGAAATTTTGAATATAAATATATTGCTTAATTTAATTTTTTTTCATAAAGTACCACATCAACTTCTGTACACAAATCAACATTAAATAAATAAAAATGTATATTAGCACATTTGGCAAATTAGAATACAGGTTTTTCATTATTACCAGGTAATGACACACTCCCCAACCTTCTCAAAAAACTTTCTGATTCAATTTCTCAATGCAGTAGTTCTGGAGGCTGGCGGCAGCTTTAAGTAAAACTGGCATTTATATGGAGAAAGATTATTGTAGGTTGCTTGGATTGTCATGCCTTGATGAAAGGATTAAAAACAAAACAAGACAATTTTGCTATCATGAAGCTAAAAGAAATATAATGACCTATATCATGCATGACCAGATTTATAAATTTGCCTTCACTTATTTTATATATGTTTAACATTTTGTTTTTAAATAACATTCATTTTCCAAGTTATACAAGCAAGTCATCCTTATTGGATCCATTTTGAAACTGTTGAAAAGTCATCAAAAGCAAATAATGATCCTTACTCCTTTTTGTTGTGTTTATTTATCTCTATGTAAGTTACTGGACATTTCTGTCTCAGTTTCCTTATCTATAAGATCTGGATGATAACAGAATCGGTCTATTTATAGGGTTGTTGTGATGTAAGGTAACATATTACATTGGCACATGGTAAATATTAGAATACACCATTTACTGTTGCTATTTCATTCTAATTTATCTTCTAAGCATATATTTTTAATAGTTACCGTCATTCATTGTTGTTGTTAAATGCTGTTGAGTCAGTTCCAACTCATAGTGACCCTGTATAGGGTTTCTAAAGAGCAGCTGATGAGTTTGAACTGCCGACCTTGAGGTTCAAACCAACCTTTTGATCGCATGCTTATCCTACAGTGTCACACCAGGACTCCAGTTACCATAATACTATACATTTATTTCATGCTGTTTCACTGAACAGAGCATTGTAAATTTTTCTTGTGCCATGTCTAATTGATAAATAACCTTATCCTAAATCACTGGCCACATGGCTAATGATTTCCTTAGGATAAATTTCAACTGATGGCAGCCCTTTTAGCTTACAGGCATTGTCTAATTGCAATATGAAAATTTCTAGAGTTTTAATCTTACAACCTTGGCCTGATGAGGAATGTCACATACTTCACTGGTGTCAGTTGAGTATGCAGCTAATAAGTGACAGGTTCATATCTACCAAGAGAGAC